TGTGTGTCAGATGAACTCCGATTCGCACCAAAATCTTCTCTTTTTTTTCCAAACCCTGCTTCAAAATGCAAAACTTTTGTGACATAGCTGGAAAAATGTGGCCACTCTTAAATCTTTGAAAGGTGATATGCGGCTTTATATCCGCTCCTGGTTGGCATGACCTGCTGGCGTGCTGCGTGTAGTTCACAAGACCGAGACAACGGCAAAGTGCCACTCAGCTGTTTCAACTCACTGAATCACATCTGAGGCCGTTCAATCACAAGCACTCATCTCGTAATTACAATATTTCAGAAAGCACTTAAAACAGCACAAGAGCGACTCTTGATGCAGATTCTCCAATCACCTCCCTGCAAAAACACCCCACCCCATGTTACATACACACCTAGGAACACTGAGTCACAGCCAGGGGGTGCACAGGGCAAACTGGATGTGCTCTTTAGATACCTTTATGCAAAAAAAAAAAAGGAACAACAATGCATCCAACTGTTATTTTACAAGTAAAAACAACACACTCTCATCTAAACACACAACTCATTTCATAATTCGGGAGTGTTAATGCCACTCCAAAGCTTTTTTTTTTTTTTAAATCTGTCCTTTAGGGGCTTCATTTGTTATGATTAGGTATAAGAAATCGTACAGAAACCAATTGAATAGCTCTTCAGATCAATAACTTTGAGCAAAAGATCTTATTTTGGCATTAAAGGAGTATTTCTTTTTTTGAATGAGCTTGAATTCAATAGATTGAACCTTTGCAGCTTATTTCATCATAGCCATTCCAAGTGTGATTTAAAATTAAGGTGCTCTTGTGAGGGCTCCGCACTTGTGTGTTAAAATCCTCGGTGCAGAGTGGTCCCATCATGACCACTGCCTAACTTAGTTCTGAATGTGAGGTCTTTGTTGTGTTCTCACTAACCTCCAGCAGTCTAACACTGTGTGAAGAAGGGCAGTTCTTCAATGAAACTCACACACAGTGTGAAACATGACTGACAAGCTGCCACAGGTCCTCATCCTTCCACTGAGAATACAATGCCATTTACGCCGGACGCGATTTCTGTCCCCCCTTCCTGGTTTGATCCCAGCAGCCATTTATCAGAGCCCCTAGAATAACGAATTATATCGATTACCGTTAGACTGAGAAAACTGATTCTCAAAGGTGGAGAGTTCGTTACACTGACACAACAGCTGTCAGAAGAGAGCAAATGGGACACAGTAGGCAGCTAACGCCCCACACGAGGGAAAGGAGCCGGAAACCAGAAAAGGAGGAAAAGGATTAACAACTCCCATCTTTGAACAATTCCCCGAAAGCTCCATGTTTGGGCTGCTAATGACATGCACAGACGGGGGGGGTGGGGGGGAGTAGGGAGGTGTTCCTCCAACACAACCTGCCACCTCTCACAGCCCAGACAACTGCATAACTCTTCTAATGAAAGCTTTGGCTTGCTTGTTGCTTAGCAACAAAAGCACTGATTCATATGGCACGTACTGTATGCACCTGACACCGCATCTCTGACTCTTCGGAGGACGGATGATTCTTGGATGAGAAGAAGACGAGACGAAGATATGAAACGAATGCCAGAGGAGCGGAAGGCAGAGAGAGAGGGGGGGGGGGGATTGGAAGTGAAAAGACACCCCGTCTCTGGCCGACTCCCACGGAGTGGCACAACAGGTTGGTGGAGCTCACCAGCTCCATTTGGCAGAATCAGAACAGAAACACACGATGGACTGCTCTCTTTTTTTTTTCTCCACACAGGAGAACTGGAAATGAGCAACCTCATTCGGAGAAGTCTCTGCAGCGTTTCTGTTCCAGCTCTGCACACACACACACACACACATACACACACACAGACACATGTTGGTTCCTGCTATGGATATTGGAGGACTCACTGACTCCTTTGTTTCACAAATACTGAACAACTATTGATCTCATGATTGGCATTTTAACAGCTCTCTGGTTAATTCATGACTAGATATTCCATGAATTGGCAGAATAATAACTGATTAAGGCCATCTGAATTGTTATTTATAGCCAGTTTGCTCAGAAAGGGCCAGTACCGGCCTGCAGGGTTTGTCACGTCTTTCATGTTTGTTTCCCAGACATAGTGCTACATTTCCGGAGCCCAGAGAAAGGGGTAAGAACTTGTGATTTAGCTTCAACTGCACAATAATATCAAGAGATCCTCTATTATGAAAAAAGGTTAAGACATCTAACACATAAGCTATCAGGTTTCTTATGTCAGAGAGCAGTTAATACGCACCTCAGACAATGTTGATGAGAAAATAAAAATGAAGAAATTATCTAGAGAAAAATTACAATCCTGGCTGAACTTTAGTCTCAATTTGTCAAAGTTGACTCAAACTCTAACCTTCACTCCAATGAAACAACCTTAAACAAGATTTGACTTTACTTTGACTTTACAAATTATCTAAATAAATATATATATAAATATTCAGCGGCAGCAAAATGGCTTCCCAAAAAGTCATTTTTATCCACACATAAATGTCATTTCTTAACTCCAAAGCAAATACACAATAACAACCAGAGGTATGAATTACGGTGTTGACTTAGTTGATTAATCAAACACACGTAAATCAAATTAATAAAATTACTGAGGAAACAATGGAAGGATTAGAAACTGCTGCTTGGTAATTGAATGTGTGACATAAAACATTCCTTGTTTCAGCCTTGAGAACAACATGGAGACCAATTTTTCGTTAAAAGAAAAACACTGAAAAATGCACAACAAAAATGGTGAGACAACAAATGGGTAGAAACTAGAAGTCATTTTCTGTGACCAAACTATAAGAAAACAGCTGGAGGAGATGGATTTTACATATTCAAGTAGCATTTACACCTTCCCCAACACGGTAAGAGGAGAAAATAAAGTTATGGGTCATAAACAGTGGATAATAGCATTAGCCAAATTCAATCCTAACTCCAGAATTTTTCAATGTATCATCTAGAATAAAGAAATACTGCTTTTCTTTTCATTTTTTCAACGTTGAATGTACTTTTTTATGTTTTATCTGTGATTTTTTTTTTAAGAGAAACAGAATGACCGCTGTAAGGGTCCTGAAAAAGGTCTCCAGAAGGAACCAAACTCAGTTTATTGAGGGACAAACTGCTAAGAATCCTATTTTTCTTTAGAACAGCACAAACCCCAGATTCACCTTCACTATTTTAGAAAGCCATTTCACAGATCAAGGTAACAGAAAGTGGCCCCTCAACAGCTGCCCAAAAAAACTAACTCAGGAGAGGCTCAAGTGCAGCATTGTTCCAGCTGTATATCTCAACTTAACTACGCGTCACGTTAAGCTGAGAAGAGGCGAGTTCATATTCAGAGTTGGGCACTCTGTTTCTCTGTAGATGAGGCCTCAGCACTGATTTAATTACAAGCCCATTTCCTAAATCAAACTGGCCGGACACGCTGTTGTCACGCACTGGCTGTCAAACAATAATGCCCAGTGATACATTTCCCTGGAGAGTTGTGCTTCAGAGGACGTACCTTCTTTTTGGCTTTACAGTGGCAGCACACGGTCCATAGATATTTGAGAGTTCTCCACAAGAGGATTATGAAGAGACCGCCAAAGAAAGTGACCATGGAGGAGGCGAGGAAAGCCCACCACATCCGCTGGTTCTCACTGTCACAGGGCACATCCAGGGACAGCTGGATGAACACGTTTTTGGGAAGTTGGATTGGCTGGTCCGGCTTCATGTTCTCCCGGTTTTTCGGCATTATCGATTTCTGGTCAGTCGCCAGCCTCCCCCCCCCCCCCCCTCAAAGCAAAAACAACCACCTCAGCCGGGATTTCAGGCGCGTTGGAGAGCTCCAGCCAGCGCCCTCTGATGCCCCGTCGGCTCACGCATGGTCAAACAGCCACTTTTGCGCTCCTCCACCGGCCCCTGCGGCTTCACGGCGGGGAAAGGACGGCAAAGTTGGCACGAGATTACGCACACGAGAAATAATAAAAACTTATTTTTTTTCTTAAACCACGCTATCGGTCTGGCGCCTCACGATGCGCGTTTTCGCGACAGGAACTGCGCGTCATCCGTCTGATCTGCGCGTAAAAATGACATCCAGCCTCGTTTAAATGCGAAATTTTTCTTGAAATCCGTGGCGGGTGAAACGTTTAGTGCCTCTTTTTATGTTGCAATTAGAGAGATGTGTTGTCCAGATCCACTCTGTCCACCTTGTTGGACGGCGCAGCCTCCAGCTTTCGCGCAGCACACTGTTGAATACGCTCCTCAAAATGTCCAGCCCGCAACGCTACTTTAAACGTCCAGCACAGAAATACCAACAAAAAAAAAAGAGAAATATCGTTGCTTGATTATTGTCGCTCTCGCCAGCGGTCGCTTGTCATTTCCATTTGTTGGGAGGATGGCAGCGCAGATTTACAGGTAGCGGGGGAGGAGCCATTAAACGCAGACGTAGATTCTTCTGGTTATTTATAGGAAACGATTTATCAATGCTTTATGATTAACTTTGTGCAGCCACCCTCTAAAAGTTCTGTTGGACACGCGTCCATTATCAGTTTCCATCCCCCCTTCTATGCTCTTATGCTGGTGTAATCAAATAATTTATAATGATTTCATATCCCAAGCAAACTATTAAAACGTGTTTGCCTCATTCTTAACGAAAGAGAAGAATATTCACATGAGCACCAGTTATATCAACTGTACACACATTTAGGTTTGTATTATTGTGACATGTGGCATGAGAAAACTCCTCTGAAAGCAGATCCATATTTCAGATCAGTCTGTAACATAAGCTCTAACAGTGAAATCTTTGGCTTATGGTTACTGTAAAATACGTTTAATAGAGTAGTGATAATGATTTCTGAATGGACAGAATGGACAACGACATTAATGCTCATCATAAAACATTTTCCTGACTTGCTCGCCTGTAGTGGTGAATTGCTCCCCCTCTTGGACAAATAGTGACTTGACCGTTGAAACAAGTCCAACCTCAGTTTTAGGTTATACTTCGAGTGAACATAAACTATTTTCCAAGAAAACCCACGGCAACAAACAATGTATTAACTGTACTTTGTTTTTAATATTAATGAGAAACATTCAATTTTATTTGGTGAAGAACTGATGAAATGTGTCAGCGTGTATCAAGAGGTATTCGATAGAATGTGTTTCAATAGCAGCCAACCAGGAGCCAGAAATAAAAACATCCCTTCTTACAGATCCATTTGACAAAGAGGAGCTGAGTTGGCAGTCCCAGTGAAACACAAGCTGGTGAAACATGTAACCCTACTGCAGGATTTCTAATCAAAGTTATGCTGTTAACTTATCTTGGCACTATATTTTGTTCGAGAATGTATCTTAAAAAGATGACTTCAGACAATAAAACAAAGACAGCAACATAATGTGAAGGGAGTAAATATCTCCTATATAAATAAGGACGTTAATTGGAAAATATCCTTCCTATCATCTAAAAACTACATCTGTATATCAGAAGGTTCATATGCAATAGCTTTCATTTGATTGGATAAATTAATAGGTGGGAAAATACAAATAAATAGAAGAGGAAGGGTCCATTTCATCTTCATTCAAAGAATAAGGGTTTTCTGTTTGCTCTGGTCCGACATATTCATGAGGTGAAGAATTAAAAGGAGTGCTACTGGATATGAGGGAGAGTAAAATATTCAAGTATCAAATACTAGTGTAAACAAATCTATGTATAGTACAGTTTGTCACTAATGTAGTGGGAACACTGCATGATCATCATCAGTGCTGATATTACTGCAAGTGAAACAGTAGTGGAAGTTTTGACTGTGTACCAATTTCATTGTGTCTACCATCATTCAGAGAGAGCCTGTGCGTGAGTGGCATGTGGTGACCGGTTCTATGGTGCTCCATCTGGAATCCACAGGACTTTGTTCTGTTCCTGCTCCACGATGGTCATGATCTGAGTGCAAATGTAGGAGACGCTGCCTCCCTGGACAACGCCTGCAAGACAGTGAGGGTGGGGTGGAATGTTTACATAAGGAGAGGTAAATGAACAGGGAGCCTCACAAACTTAGAAGTGCCTACACAGATCAGTATCACAAAAAAAGAAAACCAGCTATGATTTTGGACTGGGTGTACCCGCCTTTCGGCCATTGACCACTGGGATAGGCTTCAGTTCCTCCCCGTGACCCCATTAGGGAATAAGCGGTAACGATAATTGATGGATGTTCTATGATTAACTGTATTAATTGGATTTTCTTCTCATTTTTATTAACGACACAAAATTAACAAGTTTTGCTGCGTTTGCTGTTTTTTCTGATTAACTAATAATTGGTGTTATTAGAATCAGTTTCCCAATCAAATGGTCTGATGATTTTCAGCTGTGTTGGGGGGAAAATTCCATCTGTCTAGGCAATCTGAACACCAGGATGATCACATGGGATTTTACCATTTTAAGGGTGCAAGAGTCAGCATTTCCTATGGTATAGGTGAGTAACCAATATGTGAACGTACCATTTAGGCAAAAGATAGTATTGTGTCCGAGTGTGTGCGTTTGACTGGATCTCTATGAGCATCATGAAGAGATGAATGGAACAAAAAAGAGCAAAAGAGTCCATTCCCATAAGTTTCCTCCTTTTATATGGGCATTAATCACTTGGACAGTTTGAGTAAGTCTGTCTGCTGCCCCAAATACCAAAACCTTAACTGGAGTCAGAGGAAGAGCACAAAGACAATGTGCTTCACAAACCTCAGATAACTTTATATATTATAGATTATATAGAGAAAAACAGACAAATCTTAACAAATAATAATGGTGAGATAATGTTCACCAAGCATCACACTTGGTTTTTGCGATCAGCTGAGGAGCTTTTTAATTTTTCATGGTGGTTAGCGCAATCGCCTCACAGCCAAAAGGTTTTCGTCTCAAATCTTTGTGTGAACTTTGCCCCGTGTATGTGTGTTCTTTCCAGTTACTTAAGCTTCCTCCCACTAAAAAACATGCATGTTCACTTAATTATTCCAAATTGCCTGCTGGAGTGACTGTGGGTGTGTATGGTTCTTCGCCTCTGTGATGGACTAGTGACCTTTCCAGGGTGTAGCCTACCGGCCTCTTGCCCAATGACAGCTGTAAAATAATAAGCTATTTCAACCAACCTGTGAAGAAGCGACTGTAGTCCTGCTCTACTTTCTGTGCCACCTCAAACTGCTCCTTGGAATGTTTCTGTGAGAGTTTATCCCGCAGGTACAAAGGGTCTTTCTGCTCTCTATGGAGGAGACAACATCAGGATACATTACAAACATTTATCAAGAGGCATATTAACAGTCAAAAAGACACAAAAAATAAAATCAAATCGATCATTCCACAACAACATTCCTTTGATTTTTACATCACATTAGCATTCTGAAAACAGTTTCCTGTGGTTTCTTTGATCGAAAAGGCACTATTTTCCAATCTATTTTCAGGAAATCATCCATGTATATCACAGTAGTACACACTGTGTGGATGCTCTGTTGCCAAGTCCGACCACAGGCTGCAGTGAAATCTCAAAATGTAATTGTATCCAGGCTATCAAGTCACTTTATATCTAGACAGTCAAAAGTCAAGGGACTTCCAGTCTTTTTGGTCCATAGGGAGCTTATGGTCTATGCTCAGTGTGCAACCAGGGGAGTCTGCTGGTGATCCCCAGAGGATCCAAACCTATAGAAAAGCTCCAGCTCCCCTCAGCCATCCCTGAGGACAGACATTGGGCGGTGTGTTTGTGTATGCTGCTGTAGGTGGGGTCATGCTGCTGTGAGTATTTTGGCCATCCACGCCACAGGCTCTAACAGCCCCTCCCAGGACAGCTGGCACTCAGCTAATGACAGTGAAGGCTTAGCTGGAATCGGTCTCTGCCATGTTGTCTGCTGCACTGTTTCGTGGATTTGTGGGTGTGTGTTTATGTGTGTGTTGGGACGGGAAAAGCCTGTTCCTGCCAGACCTGAGCATGTCCTCATTTGTGTGTGTACTTATGCACTTGTGTTTAAAAATACCACGCTGAGGGTTCAGCAGATTAAATCTTCCCATGCAATTACAAATGAAAAAGCAGAGGCATCTTTAAAATATCCCATCAGCCGATCAAATCCCTGCCAGGTGGTGGAAGAGAGCAGGCTATGGTCTCTGAACAAATGATTCATCAATCAGGTTAACTTGCATAACATGGTGAATGTGATTATAAATGCAGCAAGATTCCTTCAGGTGTCACTTTCCAGTTGTCTTCAGACAAAGAAAAATGAAAAGAATAATATTGACCGGTTAGGAAGCCGTTATAGCTGTTTTCTTTATCGAAACATTTTACATTAAAATCGAATGTCACAATACTTAAATTAGAAGCAGCGTAAAGCTCAGACATTCCAGATGTATTTGGGTCGGTTGCAACAACAACAGAAAATTGACAAGGTTCAGACAAGGAACTAAAATGCCCCCCCAAAAAAAAAATCATTCAAGAGGTTTGGGTATACTCACTTTATCTGCTTGGCATTTTTGTAGCGGATGAATATGACGATAGGGTAGATGTGAACACTGTGCAGACGCTCGATGGCGTGAGGAGCGATGTCAAGTAAACAGTGACAGTCCTAAGAGAGCATGACAGCAAAGAACCGCATGGGAAAAGGGAGATGGTTCAAATCAAAACGCAGTTCTAAAATCATTTTATGCTGAACATGAAGGTATAGAGACACAGTATTTCACAAAGACTGAATTTATACCAAAAGAAAGCTCAATGGTCCCTTGGAATACCTTGACTAACCTTGAGAGTTTATTTACTTTACAAATGGAATAACTCTGAATAATAAATTCCTTTAAATATAGATCAAGTCTATAGCTGTTAACACACAGTGGTGTAAAATTAACGCAATCATAAGACAAAACAGCTACTCTTATTCAAAGGATTGGCAGCATGAAGTACAGTACATATTGATATTGATTTACCTTCTCTGTGATCTCTTTTATTGACGCAACAGTTGTCACATCAAAATGGCCGCTCCTCCGTTTGTAATCGATGAACACACAATCCTTAACTCCCCTCTCTATTGCCTGCTGGGATGCCTTCATGATTTCTAAAATCAAATACATAAAATTAAAAAAGAAAACATATACTTTTAAGACTTGTATCTCTACAGTAGTTACTTTCTCATTCAGTTAAAGTCTCTGTGCTACTAGCTGATTAGCCTTTAGTGAAATCTGAAGAGAAAATCTGAACTGAAGAAACATAAACCTGATGGCTTGTTTGAATAGACTCACCCGGCAGACAACGACAGAACTTGGTAGGAGCCTCCTTCACCAGCATTTCTTTACTGGCCTCTACTAAAGGTCCCAAAATTAGCACTGGTCTGGGGGATGAGCAGTCCACCTTTTGAACACGCTGGTACATCAGGCTCACTCCATCTGAGCAGGAAATAGTCAGACAAAAATCTCCAATTAATAATCAATTATCAATCTGTCACACTGCAAATCTGAAATAGTCTGTCAGTGTCTCCAGAAAAAGCTATGTTAAACAGTCATGATGCTCATTCAGGAGCAGGTTTTGCATTTATGACCATGCAGTCTAAACCGAGGATCTCTCACCCTCCGTGATGGGCAGCGAATCTGTGCTTATGGCATCCAGAGCCACAAGGTCCTTCCCATCTTTAGAGCCACTACGTTTGTGCTTCAACCGGCGACGGAAGAATGACCTCCGGGCAGCAGCAGACAGAGTCTTGCTGGTGCCGTTATCATCTTTTGCATCCGTCATGCCATGTCTTTTGTAGAACTCCTGGTCCATCCTAATGAAGAAATATCAGCAAGCTACCGTTTAGTAAAACAATCACATCCACACTCCCGTTTATTAACACTGAATGTTTAAACTTTAAAATCAGCAAACTGAAAATGATCTAACTTTTCAATGACCAGCTCAACCAATAGCTGCAAAAGTAAAAGTAGAGTTAACATAGGCTGGACTTACATATATTTACTTGGAATCTGCCCCTTCTGTAGTCTCTGAGCATTCTCATCCAGCTGCCAGGCCATCCAGAAGCCAAAATTACCATTTGGCAGCGTGTCTTCAACATACACAATGTCATCTTTTTTAAAGCTCAGCTCCTGCTCGCCTTCTGCCACCCGCTCATAAAGTGCTCTAGGAGAGGAAGGAGGATATCAGTGGCTACATAAATACATTTATTAATCTTTTGGCAACAACAAATGCAGTTTGCTAAACATCATCAGGTGTTTAAAAGATCACTAAGCCAATCAAGTATTCAAAAAGGCTTGAGTTTAAATATTATGGTGGATCTTAAATGTATATATTTTTTGGTTTTGCATGTTCTGGTGAATTCATTAATACAAAAGCTGGTGTTGCAAGCTTCTATGCCTTTTTTCTACTTGTGTAGTTGAACAAAAAGTTAGCGCACCGTATGAAAAATCCATCTCCGGGAGCATCTTTGATGTCATCAAGGCCGTCCACGCAGTTCTGAACCTTGAATGTGATTGTTTCAGCTGGTTTCAACATTTCCAGGTAAGCATCTTCCTTTGTTTTATTCTTCATGCTGATGCCGTTATACTGAATGAAAACAATTATTCGAGTGACAAAGGGACACTGCGCTCTTTTGAAAGCAGAACACGTCGTCATATTCAGGAACCAAGGAAATCAAACAACGCACTAAAAATGCATATGTACATACCTCAAGTATCAGGTCTCCAGCTTGCAAGCCATCAGGACTTTTAGCAGGGCTCTCATCATCCAGGGTCTCCACAAAGATCCCATAAAGGTTTCCCCCACAGATTTGAACTCCCAGTTCTGCATGAACCCTCTTTAGCCTCACCAGCCGAGGTTCTGCAGCCCGGTGCATAAATGAGCTTGGATGCCTGGAGGGAAAACAGAATTTATATTTCACAATCTTCTTATGCAAACTTCATAAAAATGGCTATTTATATTCTTATTTTTTATTTTTTTATTTGCTTCACTGATACAAAACAGATCCATATCAAAAGGAAAAAAGATAGTCCAAACTAAAACAATATAGAACAGAATACCAGCATCAAGAGCAGACATAAGCTCCCACCTGAAGGAGTTGTGAGGACTGTTGGCAGGAGTTGTCTGTTTAGATGGAGGTGTCATGGTGCCCTCGCCCTGCTCACTCAGAGTATCAACAGCAGAATGATTATCGGGGGTAGTAGCTCTGCTGTCTTGGGGTGTTGGCTGGTTGCTAATGGACTCCATCCGAGAGCTGAAGAGTACAGCAGCGCAATCAAAACTAATTTAAGACGTACTTTTAACCTTAAAAAGACAATCGCTTCAAAAAGTCTATTTATTTTTGCCCTCTGTTGTCATTTTTCAGAACAGAATCTACAGCAGCCCCATTTTAAACACATGTGTCTGTTCTTTTCTTGTGCACTAACAAAGTGCTGTTTACTGCATGCACATTTTTTATGTAGAATGACAAGCCTCTTCATATCCATACATCAGACTAAAATAAGTCATTGTAGTCATGTTTTCTGCGCAAATCCCACTTACCCTGAATGAGAGTGATGCCCCAGCTGAAACATGTGAGGATTATATTGAGCCAGGATGGTGACCGTGTCACATTGTTGCCCAATCACCAGCCGTGCCTGCTGCTCGTTGGCGTTGCGTAGATTGATTCCGTTAAACTGTAGGTGGTAGTGGTTAATAAGAAATGGAAAGAAGTGAAGAGCCTTCATGTGTAGCTAAGGCTGGTGGTTGTCTCACCTCGAGCAGTTGGTCTCCGTACTCTAAGCGAGCTTGATGAGCGATACTTCCTGCTGTCACTTTAGATACAAAAACGCCACCATTCTCTCCACTCACTATAGAAATCCCCAGTGGTTCTGCTCCTTTTTGCACTGTTACATTGCGTGGCTCCCCCAGGTATGGCCTACAGGGGGAAAAAAGCATTAATTACATGTAATGTTTTGTAATCTGTTTAAAAAGACTATTGGTAGGATGCAGCATGCAAAACGGATGTGCAAATGTGTGCTTCAACGCAATAAACAATCATTAATATCTCTGAGGAAAAAAGAAAAAAGGAAATAAAATTCTTGATTCAATCATCCAGGAAAATAATACGTAGTCCTAGCTTCAGCTTTTTGTGTTGCTGGAAGATACAATGATTAGCCAAAAACAAATTCACTACAGATTCTTCCACAATATCCTTGAATGTTAGGTTTTGTATTTGCATTTATGTGCAATAGTTTGTTGTCATGGCTTCTTGGTGATTCTCAACTTACTGTCGTCCATGTGTTTGTTATAGTTTTTTAGTGCTTAGTGAAACAGTGGCACATTTGAAAGAAACATCACTCTTGTCATTCTTTTTCTTTCTGTTTTCCTACACTTAGCACATCCATCATCAGCGGGCTAATAGCTGTAATCAAATTTCAGTGCAGCAAAACTAAATGAGTTTTACAATCTGTACTTAGACTTACATCCGACAATTTTGTAGCTGAAATTGCTTAAACAATATTACAGCAACTTTAATAGATTACCAGCAAAGAAATCCAAGATAACAACATGACAGGATATAAATCGATTACTTGTTATTCATGTTTTCAAAAAATTGCACTAGTGCTGCAAAATAGGGAGACATATATGATTTATATATTCCAACCATACAGAAAGAGTATCTTTAGAAGGCTCTAAAAGTCTTGCAGGCAGTGCAAACATTGTACAGTATGTGCTAAAAGTAATCGACAAACCTCAGACTTCGCATAGAAAGGAATTTAGGCTTTACCGCCTGTGGGCGTCTAACAGAAGTGTAGTAAGAGACACATCTGAGGAGCAGACGGAAAGAGGAAAGAGACAAAATGAACCCCTGAAACTGTAGAGGGAGATTTCAGGTTACAATAATCAGAAGCGCAGAAGACAGATGCAGAGATGAAATTAAAGACGATTCTTTTACAGTATGGGATGATGGCTGACACATTTGCTTACTGTGTTCCAAGCACTTCATCACACTGCACCAGACAGAGGTGCAGACAAATGGTGGAAAACATGTCACGCTCTGCTGAATGATGGGGGTATAAGAGATGCAGACGAGGGTTTGGCTTACCCATCCCGCCGCCTGTCTCCGGCTGAAGCAGGGCTGACTGATATCCTGGGCTGGGTGGAAATAGAGCATTGCGATTGGCTGCTGGAGAAAGACGATGTGTCCAGGTTGACTGGGGACATTGGAGGCGTCGGGCTGCTGCATTCTGACTGTGACAGAGAGCCTAGAAAGGCAGAGACAAATTGTCATCTTGTTTACAGCTAGAGCATTCACTGAGGTGATATAGCTTCTGCATTGAACTGTACCTTTGTCAGATCCAGTTGATCGGGAGTAACGGGTTGGAGGGATCTTAATGCGTTCTGCCCTAAACTGTCGGGTACGAGGGGAACCTAAGGACAAGAAACAGGATATTCATCTGTGTAAAAAACCTTTCTAAATCACTTAGCTTCATGAGAGTCCAGCCATCTGGAATTTTATAGGATAGTATCAACCATCCCTCATGAAATAAGTACACAATTAAACAGATTTTGTGCAGCTCCCTTAAGACTCACAAAATAATTTCCATAAGTGCTTTCATAGATACAATAGAATCTTTTTGATTTGTAAAATTAGTGGGAGGTTAGGGTATAAATAAACATGAATGTAACATTTGAAATGTATACTAGACTACAGACTGCTGCAATCAGATTCTTAACAAGTTATGATCGATTCCAAATCTAGGACACTATACATACTCAGCCTTGCTCCTGAGGGCAACGAGTTGGTGCTGTGTGGTGGCTGGCTGCACTTTTTCTCAGTCAAGTCTCCATTGCGCTTGTGGCTGAGGTCCAGACTGAAGCAACCTTGATGCTGAGGACTAAAAGTGGAGAAAGGCCTACGTAAGTCCTCTCAACGCAGGGCAAGACAGAATCTGCTAGATGCCATCTGTTCATGAGATCTGGGTCAGAGTGCATACTGTCGATTTGTACAAGCAGCAAAACAGATTAAAGCCTGTCTCATAAATGAAACAGTATTCTAATGGCCTAATACTACTGGTTTTCCCCACATGAACAGACACAGAAATTACAACATATAGGCCTGTCAGTGTGAATGAAAAAAAAAAAAACTGAATCCATTGATAAATACAGTGGAAAAACACCTTGAATGTGAGGGGATGCCTGGACTGAGAGCTGGAGGACTGTTGTTTGTCTGGACCTCATGACTCCAAGCTGTGTAGATGGGGTTCCTCATGACAGCTGTCACAGCAGGACATGGGGCTAAACCTCTCTGCCGCGGGTCTGGAAATAATATATAGTGCAAGACTTAAAACAAAATTCTAAAACAGCTCATGCAACTTTTAATTGAAGGCATACAAAACAAATGAAGATGTTTGGAGGACTTACGTGCTCCGATGCTACTGTAGCTTGGAGGTGTAAATGGCATGCTGTAGCGGTTAATTCTCAAAGGAGAGAACCGTAAAAGGTCCACCGGTTCTGGGGAGTCTTCATCATTCGAGAAATTTTGTGACTGTAAGAGGCAATCGAAAAGCAACAAAAGTTGGTCAGGTTTGCTTCCTTAGAATTAGTCTAAAGCACTGCTCATTGGTTCAGAGGCAGGTAGTTTCACTAGTAAGACTCGCACGGAGTTTAAAAGAGTTTATAAGAGGACTAACTCGAAACATGAGCCATTAAGAAAGCATGATCATTAAAAGACAGTGTTTGGGTTACCTGCGTAGGAACAGGGATGTGTAACGGAGTCACGTTCCGCCGCAGTGCTGGAGCTGATTTCGGCCGGTACCTCTTCTTTTCCTGCGCTTCTGTCCTGTGTCGATATCCCTCCTTCTCAGTAGGCTTCTTGAGGTTGCTCTCAGTCTTTCCCGAAGAGGGATCAGCATGATAGACCTTTTCCCCCATGTCTCCCTCATCCCCATGGCAGGTAGCTTGGGCCGGAGAAGCTGGTGGAGTGCTGGTGGTGATAGTGGAGTCGGACGCAGAGCTGTTCTGTTGCCGATGCTTAAACCGAAAAGAGTCACTCCTGGCTGGTGGGGTGGGAGGCGTCTGAGCAGATTCAGACACTGAGCTCTGTGGCGAGTGTTTAGACATCTGAGACAGAGACATGTAGTCCAGTTTAGGTGGTGTCTCAGGCCTCCTGAAAGCACTCACATCAAAGATGGACTTCCTCTGTTTGGGCTTTTTATAGATAGACAGCTGAGTGCACTCGGATACAGAGGCTCCTGCAATCACTTTAGGCCATGTCCCTCCACCAGGCTTCACTGGGGAGCTCTGCACTCTGTCCACAGTGGATTGAGGTGGGCTGAAGTCAGACAGAACAGGGGTAAAGGTAAGGGGGCATTGATGAAGGTCCTGTCTCCGGTAGCAGAACTCTGGGTGGGGCTCTGAAGGACTGTGCGAAGTGGAAACGGAGCGCGAGTGCTGGGAGCTGTGAGAAAAGGTTTTTTGGTGGGAATGAGCACTGTTGCTGCTGTTTTCCAGAGAGTGAGATGAATCCTTGCATATTCCCTCCTCTCTGCTGCCCGAGGTGCAGCTGCAGACATCAGTTTGAGTGGAGCAGTTGAGCTTCGAGCTTCTGCAGTTCCTGGTATGGATCTCACTGGACTGAAGCCGCAGGCTCTTTTCTGAGTCTCTCAAAGTTTCAAATAAATTGTGTCCAGAACAGCTCTGTGGGAGGTACTGTAAAGTAAGGAGGCAGAAATGAATATCTCACCGTTATTGTTCAGAAACAAAAATAAATGAATAAATAGGGGATTGCTTTGCACATCCTAAGTTTACAACAGAATACCTTTTGTCCAGAAATAGCTTTAGCTGACCTGTATTTGTTTTATCACATGAATGTATTGACAGCATTAGCAGTGTCACACAGACTAACTCAACAGAAATAGTGACTTCAGATACTATAATGTGTTGTTGACATTGTAGGTCTGAAGTATTCACCTTCATGAGGGATATGCTGAGAGAGTTACTGCGATCCCTCAGCAGAGACTCACACTCAGACAGCGACTTGTTGTCAAGTTCAATTCCATTGATCTGTCAGAGGAGACAAATGAAATCCAGAGTAAAAGTTGTGTGTATGAGAAGTGTCAGCAGGGACGTGTCAACATCAGCAAAATATCTAAATCATATGTAGTGAATGGACATTTCCTCCTTCAGCCCCAACAGTGTCATGTTGCTTCCACAAAAACTTTTATAACTTCTTTGCTTCTTCTTGGTAAATATCATCAAAATACATCATTCTATTGATCTGTGTCCATGAAAAAGAAACTCTATAGACCACCAAACAGACAATAAATAAAGGAGTATACAACTAAATGAATTAAACAAAAAAAAGAATCACTTCCCCAATGATACTAAAGGCAGGTCAGGTTAGGGGCTATGCCACGGTGTATGCTTGTGGTCATTAGAGGGCACTACAAGCCTATGAAAAGGCCAGTATATGCGTCTTTGCACTCAAACTTTTCTTGTTGTACAACTACAGCTTTTTGATAGCATACTCACAGCTAATAGTCGGTCACCAATTGTAAGATTACAGTCTCTGGCAGCTGGACTTCCTGAAGCCAGTGTGGCAACAAACACTCCACTTTCCAAACCAATCCCACTGTCTGAGAAATTGGGAAGAAATAGCAGAACTCATAATTCTGTTCATTTAAAGAGAAAAAAAAGCCTAATATGATTAACTATAAATGAGCAAGTCTTGGTATTACTCTTTTGAGCAATAGTTTTAACAGGAATAATATGACTCATAATGTCGGTGGAAATAATTTAGTAAGTTGATTTTATTTCTGAAATAGAAGCTGAATCTCACCTTTGTTTCCTGACAAGTTTATCTGGATTGAGGTAACAAATCGTCCTCCCAGAGACTTCCTTCTTCGAACCACCATATTGATCACACCCTCCCTACTCATCACAGCTTTGATCACTTGCTTCCTGTCCTTATTGGTCAGGTCCACATCATTAATCTTCAACAACCAATCATTCACCCTAAACAGGGAATAAGTAATATTTTTTTTACAAATGGAGCAAAAGCCATCTAAATGAAATAGTGTAACACAATCTTAAATTCTGTGTAAAAATTCTGTGTCCAAACCAAAAGTTCATTGAGAGAATTTTCATGCATATTCTTTTGTGTCTGAACAAAAACTCAGGAATCAAATAATGCAGATAAATCACAAGATCAGCCTTTACCTTAATCTTCCCTCTGCAATACTTCCTTTATCCACCTTCGATACAACTATGCCACAGTCTCCTGGGAAATATGGATCATTTACTCCTTCAGCAATATCAAATCCAAGTGCTTTTAAATCCATATCCTGAAAACAGATGAACATGACAAATATCTTAACTATTTAAATATGAAGACACTTTACATCTGAACATAAACAAGTAGCTCTTACTCTGTGCTTCTCCAGTTCGACAACTTCTGTCTCCCATTCCATTGAATCTGTATCTATGGCTGAATCATGTGAGCTGTGAGCCATTAGCTGATGATATCTTGCTTCTTTCTCCAACTGGTCATCCAACTTTTCTCTGTAAGAAATACAAAAAAAAAAAAATCCTCAAAAGGATTTAGTGGAAACAACTGAATTTTACAATTTCAATGACAGAAATCCACCACTAGGGGGCATAAAATATCCCCAAAACAAGGGGAACACTCAACCAAATGGAACTTTATGAATAAATAACATTTAAGTTTTAGCCCTAAAATAGAGCTGAGAGTAATGCATATCGTACAAGAGACAAGATAAAAAGCACAGAAGAGAGACGCACTTTAGTTCTTTGAGTTCCCTTGCAGCATCGTTCTTCTGCTTCCTCGTGTCATCAAGATTTCTCAGAGCATCTGCCAAATCACTCACAGCTCTGTCCCTTTCTCGTCTTAGGTTATCACACAGGGTACTGAAAGATGCACACAATCGTATTATGTATCACAGAAATTCTAGTGCAAATCTCTGCAGCGATATACATAGCAGATGCGACACAATGCCACAAAATAAAGAGAGGTATTTGTTAAACAGATTTCTTACCGTATGCTCTCCCTTTCTGCCACAATCTTGTCTCTCTCCTGAAAGGCCCAATCCCGTCGACACTTGGCCACCTCTGCTTCTTGCAGAGCTTCTTTCAGCTCCTGGGAAATGGCCTCGTACTGCTTCCTCAGCATCTCAATCTCTTTGTTGGCTCTCTCCATGTCCAGAGTGGCAGAGTCTTGTTTCTGGAAAACCCAGAGAAATGCTAAGAAACAATGCTAGGTAGTTTTAGTTTAGTCAATAATGTCAATAATTTGACTTTTTAAAAATACAACTTCAGTACTTTGAAACTTCTGAAACATTTAAGGTTGCATATAGTCCAACAGTAAGACAGATTTTTTGAAATTTTTCTACAAATAAGAATTTCAAAAGGGAGCTACAAACTAATACAATCCTGTGATTTGTTCTTCAACAACTCCAAAACAAACTTTGCACACATGAAAATTTTTAACATGTTTTCATGAGCAGCTGTTTCAGATTTTGTTAAACCTTTAAAGTATTTTGTATTTGCCTTAAATGATGATGAAAGTTAGTCAGCAAAAAAGTCCTGCTATAATTCCAGTTTCACGAGTTTAATGGATTTCATTTGAGATTTTCCCAATTAAAGCCTCAGCATAAATTATTTAATAAATACCACAAATAGAAAAACTGTAAACAGAGACGCAGCATCTTCTTGTGATGCACAAACAGTAAGATTGGATTATGTAGTTTGGTATGAATTGGGCCAACTGTAGAATGAATGCAAAGAGCCTGAATCTGCGTGACCACATGATCAGACTGTTTCATTCTAAACAACCGCACATTGTAGACTTTTTAGTGTATTACTTCATCAATAAAGTCTAATGGTAAAATCATTCCAATAGACTCCAGTGAACGATTCACTTTTGACGCAATGCAGATTTCTTTTGCAGTTCAGAGTTAAGGAGATGCTCGTCAATGTAATTCTAGAGAAATCTCTTACTTGCAATAAATCTTAAAATCGCTGAAAACGGAGTGAACGAAAAGGCACACATTTGTCAACAAGATCAATGTGTGCAACCACCAAGCAGATGAAAAAGACTACTACTGCTACATTAGATGAGATGAAGTGATCATTGTCAGAGGAGTAAATCAACCCTGCCATTTCAACTGATAAATCACCCTCTGGCTGTCTGGCTACCTGTCTGGCCTGGTAATACTCCCGCAGCAGCTGGTCCCTCTGGATGATGGCCTCTGTCCTCTCCTTTCGGGCCACATCCCTTTCCTCACGCACTGTCTCAATGTCCTTACAGGCCTGGCTCAGCTCTTTTTGGGCCTCAGCTTTGTCCTTCACTTCGTGGCAGTATTTCTCCAGGAGCTCATTCTTCTCACAGATTGATCGGTCCCTGTCCACCAGCGCTGAGGCCAGTTCCTCCATGTCACAAAAAACATCACCAGTGGATATTTACAGAAACACTCCCAGCTCTTGGAACATTTCTTTACTTTTCTTTCTCTTTTCATTCACAACTACCAAGTATTCTAATTCTCAGCATGGGACAAAAGTTCTTATTTCAGGCATTACCTGTCTGAGAGCTTCCAGCTCCTCATTGGCCACTCGCCTCTCGGAGGTGTTGTTCTTGAGCTTTGCCTCTGCTAGCTCCAGACCTGTCTGAAGACGGTCCACTTCTTTGATTACCTGGTCCCGCTCGCTCATTATCAAGCGGTATTCACAGATCACAGAGTCCCGCTCTTCTTTGTACTTCTCGCTGTCCTTGGCGGCCCGGAGCTGCTGAGTCTTAAGTCGCGTTGTCTCTGAATGGAGCCGTTCCATTTCTCGCTGTAGCTCCTTATTCTGAGATGCGGCTTTGGATAGTTCCTGCTGCATAGTGTCGAACCTGCACCAGATAAGGATGTCACAGCTTTCATATGTTTAAACCATTTGCAGATGAATATTGTCTTTTCTCATTTGAAATGATCAGCTTTATAAAAGATTACTAAAACAGGAATACATACAGCATCCAATCTGAAAAGAATTAGCATGTTCTAAGAGCTGTGCAGACATGCATTTAGCACTAAATCGGTCCTGTGTAGTGTAATTTTCTGTACAATGGCATCATTAAAATTTTTATTTATCTTTATTTTGTTTTCATTTATTTAATATTTGTAGCTGAATTTGTATGCAAAGTTTCTTATCTGAAAGCTTTTTTGTTAGATTTTCCAGAATTACCCTCTGAAAGAAGAGGAGCAATGCTGCTGATAGTGGATGGCAGCATCTCTCTGTTTCAGCAGAATATCCAGCTTCTTCTGCAGCCGGTGGTTCTCCTCTTCGGCCTGGTCCAAACGACTCAGGTCTGCATTGTGACTGGCAGTCTTCTCATTGTAACGCTTCCTCAGGGCTTCATAGTCTCTCTTCACACCCTCCAACTTATCAACAGCTGTGTCATAGAGCTTATTAAGGGCTTCTGATGATCCCTCTTGCATCACCTGCAGATGACAGAACACTTCACTTAAATAGGCCCCAACAACTGCACCATTATGCTAAATAAATAAGTAAAATGGGTATGCTGACCATCAACGTAATGTATTGTCTCGGAGAGAATTTGAACACAATTTCATTCAGCTCAGTTATTCTGGTTAGCTTTAAATTCAAGGTTAACTGTAAGCACCTTAAAATAAATGCCACTGTGTTAGTCCAAGACCCCACTGACCTTTAAAATGGTATTTAAAAGTATGTTGTTCTGACAGAAATAAAAAAAAAATTCTCATACACATGAAGGGACAAAAGAAACAAAGTAATGTGGTCAGGGATGATGATTTGATGAGCTGAATTAGCTCGATGAAGTCCATGTGCTTCGCTTTTTTTGGTATAAATCTATGTGTACCCAAAACAGGCAGGCATTATGACAATGATAGATTGTTTTTATTTGTTGAGTTGGAGCTTAAAAACAACAAATAATTAAAATCCACTATAACTACGTTCAAAACAAATAATGGACTACAATATGTTTCACACAGGTGAAATTAGGTAACTGACTAGCTCATAAAAATAAACCAACAAAGGTCACCTCCCTTAGCTAATTTGACTGAGGTCAAACAAAAGTTTAACCAGCAATGACAAGAGCTCTGGGTACAACAAGGCTTGCTTCTTTAAAATCAAATTACTTAAAGAGATTTCCATTGTGGCATTTAATCATACCACTGTTTTCCTTCAGTGAGGCTACATATACTGAATGTAATTACCCTAATTTCTAGATGTTTGGGTTGATAGATATAGTTTGCCCTGTCTGACCTTATTTTTTTCAAACAAAGTTGTCTTCTAAAACAACAAGACAGGAATTACATTTGTCAATCCTGCATCAAGTGTTAAGATACAACTATCTCTATGCTGATGGTGTCCAGAGAAGGAACTGAATGTCTGAATGCAAAAATGTGCGATGCTTTTTTGTTTTACCTTTGTGGGATGGTGGTGGGCTATGAACAGGTACCTGTTGGTGCAGCATCCTCATATCAGCGACCTCCCTCTGGTCATCCTCGTGAAGCCTTCTCAGCTCCTCGCATGCCTGCTTCACGTGGTTGTGGTCCCTGACTAGCTTGATGTTGTGCTGTCTCATGGCCTCCAGCTCCTCTTTCAGTTGGCCAGCCTCACCCACCATCTGGCTGTGCAGAGTACTACAGGGATACAACAGTCACATTCTGCACTTTGATAGCCATACTTGAATATATCATTTTTATATATTCATATACAAGTTTTTGATTGACTCCATTCTTTCAAAACAGTGACACGTTTCAATGCCACTGGCTTCAAATCAAGTCCAAAGTATTTCTGAAACTCTTTATCCATTTACTTAGTTTTTTCACAGCTCACTGAAAATGTCCGACACAGAACCCAGAAGTTTTAAGTTTAAAAAAATTGTAAATCCATCTTATATAATTGTTTGGTAACTGTAGAAATTTGAATCAATAAGAGAACCAATAAAACCTGCCATGATTACAGCGTGTTAATGGTTGACCAAGTAGAGAGAGACTTATTGATTTAGTTACAGAACAGTCTCATATGAATGGGATTTCTCATTGACAATGTGGCGCATAATGGATAAGTTGAAAGGCAGACAGGACAAGAATAAATAAATACTTTCTATGATGTACAGACGGGCCCAGAAGGAGAGGCTTAAACATAGCAATAATCCTTCATCTGTCCATTTGCATTGGAGGCCAGATGTTGGCTCCATACACTTTGGGGACGAGTAAAGCATCATTAAATCACACAAATGGACCAGCATTGCCTCTATGTCTGCTGAACTGTTTTTTTCACCGGACAGCAAGTTCCCCATTTGCCGTTTTATCCACATGGCACAGATGCTGCCCCAAGCAAACAGCATTCACATAATGAGTACATGTTTTGGCATGAGGAAGACAGTAATTTAGTCTCCTCTTTCAATCTTTGGTCTGGAAAAACAACATGGGTTTTTTGCTGCGATGTGGACAATGAAAAAGATCTAAACAATCAGAGTTAAAATTAAACGAAAAAAGCTCTTCAAAGTTGTTTTTTCCCTCATGGCTTAACTCCCAAGCTTTTGGACTGATATAAAGGCTTTATCCCTTTTAGTCTGACTAAAATAAAATCTGCTCCATGCAATCTGCTATGAATACGTTATAGAAATAACTGAATACCTGCTAAAACCCTTTGGGCTATGCATGAATACATACAACACAAATGCACCGGCTGTTAAAAAATTTAGTCCCCACAGTAGTCTTTCCACTTACTGATAGAAGTCTGCTTTCTTCACAGCCTCCTCGCACCTCTTCAGTGTTGTGCTATGCTGGTTCTGCAGGGACTGGAGGTCTGCCATAGCCTTCATGCACTGCAGCTTTAGACGCTCATAGTCATGACCTGTTTTCGAGTTTGATCTATTTCACAAGAAGGAAACAAAGCTGTGATGCTTACATTCTAGTTTTAAGAGGCCACAAGGGACAATGACAGAAGCATGTGCAAAGTAAACATCATGCAAACCGTGCACTTCAAGGAGAACCCAAAGAGAAAAGAAAAGATGTAGAAATATGTTTGGATCCTTTATTTGACAGTTAGGCATATCTCTTAATTCAGTGATGCTTTGGAGAGCAGGAAGTTAGTTGTGGGACATGAGATCGGTACCTGCAGTCTTCAAAGGTGGTACCAGGTGAGGAGAGGGCCAGACGTTTGCGCAGTTCATCCCTTTCACGGGTCACATGTCTCAGCTGTAACAGAACTGTCTCCATCTTCTCATTCTGCTGGTGGCTGTCCATGTGAGCGGGTGGAGGAGAGGATGCTTGACCAGGAGTACCTGTGTAAGTCAGTATGTCACTGGTGGCATGGGCAGTTCACAAATAGCAAATGTTGGGTGGGGTTATGGTGGCGTTAAAAACTGTAGCAGACACAACAAGACACTTTCTTAAATCATTTCTATCATGTTCTTGTTAATTCATTTATGCATTCATTTTTCATCCAAGCAACAGATACATATTTCAGTTCCTCATTCATCTACCTTCCAGTTGCATGTACTGGGTAGCTGTAATAATACCACACAGAAAATTCAGTACACTGATACAGATTATGTTTCCTTTGTAATAGTATGTGCCTGTCAAATCCTCTCTAAGACAGAGAATAACTAAATGAACTGAGGTCTGTGTGTTTGGATGAAGAGGCTCAGTGGAGTTTTTTTAAAATCCTTGTCACATCTGTGTAATCACTTGCATGTGCTCAACGTAAAAAACAATATTATATATAAAACTGCGCTGATTTATTTTGAAGAGTGGGTTGTTTTTTCCCTCTTCGTCCCTACAGGAAAAGGTTCCCATTGGTATATCTTTACCATAAACGTGCCCCTCAATGTGTGTGCCACACTCACCTAAACTGCTGAGCGAACTGCTGCTTTCTGAGTCAGATGGCATGGTGGACAGGACACTGTAAGTGGAGCCTGGGAAGGAGACAAAAACATTAAAGTTAGCTCAGAGTACTCGACCTAGTCTGCATCATAGTTCTCAGTATTGTGTGGTACATCAAGGCTCTGCAGCTTGGGTTACATTCAGGAGACTTTAGTGAAAACGGGCCAGCTGGAGGAATAATAAGGTGGGACTTTCCCCAACTTGGGATGACGAGCCTGTGGGCTGACAACAGAGTGTAGCTAATTATCAGTTGGGCAGAGAGCTTGAATGCCGACTAGGAAGGGCCCCAAAGTGGCTGCAGCCTTGGAGCTTCACCTTTCATCTCCACTGACAACATCACACAGTCCCCCTTGTGAGTCCCCCGTCTTTTAGAGCCTATGGTGATTCATAATCAACTATACAAAGAGAGCTTCAGTACAACAATGGGCATTATGAAGAACATGACTTTTTATTAAACCAACGTAATTACTGAAGGTCTACAATTGACACAGTTTGCTTTCACTCAGTGTGGTATTTAACTTGCTAATTTTTCGCAATTAAGTGGGTCTCACTAAAACTTTTATATGATAGCAGGAATAATGAAAAGTAATTGTTGCATTGTAGGAGTCACAATGTAGTATCATTAAGTCAAAAACAGAGTTGGACAATTTAAAATGTGCAGGTATGAATACCCCCTTTTGTAGCTACACTTATGAAGTAACCAGATTTAGCTCCATGTCATCATTATATCTATTTATTGGGTAAACAAATAGATTATGCTAAATCAACATCTTTGAAACCTTAACAGGCGAGAATAAATCCACAAAATCTCTTGCAATCAAGCATGGAATTGTTCACTTGTTTACTGACTTAACTATGTTTTTAAAGCTTTTTAATATCAGTCAAACTAGCAACAGATCATCAATTCTCAATATTTTACTGAGTTGTTCTGAATATCCATACATCCATCCATTTTCTACTCATTCCCAACGGGGTCACAGGGGGGCTGGAGCCTATCCCAGCAGGCGAGATGCGAGGTCACCTGGCCAGGTTGCCAGTCCATCACAGCTGTTTTGAACATTACTCAACTATTACTCCCTTCACTAAATTTAAATCTATTAAAACTCCTCCAGGAAATGCCATAAATGTGAACCTTACAGATGCTTGAAAGATTTAAAAGACTGAAGAGGCCTTGATCAAACAGCCAGCCACGCACATTTACTGAGATCTTACTTGGCCTTGGAATGAGGAGCTTATAGTTCAGTTAAATCAGCAACTTCTATCCCTGATGTAAAGTAGTCTAGTGTAGACTTGGAACAAGCAGGAGCATGACAAACGACTCTATTTACCCACGTCCCAGAACTCTAAATCCATCCCTGGCTGGCTGAGTTCCCATTAGCTAAAGGAGACTATGAGTTGAGACTATGAGGAGCCCAGCTAACACGGCTCACCCCTCTGTTTCCCAGCGAAGGACTAAAAGAAGGGGGAAAAAAGGGAGAGACTGATGTGCCTCAGGATCCGTGGCATCCCATGGATCAAGCCTTCTTTGTTCTCGCTCTAGCTTTAGTTTCCCATGACTCTGAGCAGAGAGCTGCTCAATGAGCAAGGTGTGTTTTGTCAGTTTGCTAACTTTTCTATACCATGGAAGTCATATGACCTGGATCTGTCTGTGGCATCACCCACTCTACTCAGGTGTCTTATTTAGATTCAGATATGAACTCTCTGTCATCAACTTTGTGAAATTTAGAAACAAAAATTTAAAGTAGCAAGGTGCAAATGCGGAGGCCATCTAAAAATAACATGTGGTACTATCCATCCATCCATCGTCTATACCACTAATTCCTCGTGGAATAACCCCAGGGGGTTGCGGGGGCTGGAGTCTAACCCTGGTGACACTTGAAGAGTGTCACCACTCTTATGCTCAGGCCATCTAAAAACTCAAGAAGCTCAACTCTACAGTTCCGACTTGGACCTCTGTCAGTGAAACAGTATACATGGTAAACATTTCTTGTGACTGACCAAACTAACGCCATTTAGAAATTGTGTACAATAACAAAGATTGTTCTAAAAAAATCTCAAATTCTGCATTTTATTAGAGCAGAGTAACATTGTGGAAGTGGTTGGAACGGGCTGAATATCTCCTATGAAATGATTGTCAAATTAAATAGAAGAATATATGGTTAAGAACAGCTTTCTAAGGAATTTGGCTGCATTGATATAAATATCCTACACATTTATGTAATCAAAGGACAGAGCATTTGAGCTTGGGCTCAACATGACCCTTTAAGTCCATTTTAACTGAAAGACTGCATGCAAGTGTGTTTCAATCCGAAGCGCACCAAATCCCTCTAGTGTATGAGGAGATGGGGTCTGTAGTATTGTTAGTCAGGTGCAGAAATGCAGTGATTCATAACTTGGGTAATTCCTTAACCAATTTTAGCATCCTGTTAAAAAGGTCAAACAGTCAAGAAGATTACTTGGTGAATTTGTTCGTATTTGATCTACAGAATTCAAATCCTAACCACTGCTAGGTTTACAGTTGTAGTTGTCCTTATTCTGTCTGCATGTGATGCATTCATACAGTAACAAGCCATAGGTTAAGCTGTGCTTAGGTAAAATCCAGAGGACAGAGCACTCTGGGTAATATAGAAAATAAATATTAAATAAAGCATGTATGTGGATATATTGGCAGTAAACAAGGTGCCTCTGTAGAACAGATTCTGATGAAATTGAAGTCAATCTGATCTGGGAGATGCTTATGACAGATTACTGAAAGACAGATGAAATGTCTCTTTTTGTAACAAGTAAAAAGGATGCTGAATGAAGAAACACACACTGCAATATGAAGTTAATGATTCAATAGTTCAGTAGTAATTAGTCTGACAGCTGTGGGTTTTCATCTCATAGTGATCTACAGATCACTGCATGAATGATATCATGAACTACTTACTATTTTTTAATTGTAACAAAACTGTTTAATCTGTTTGAGGGGTAACAAATACACCAGTTACAATACACACCCTCATAATCGCCTGCCATCTTGTCATTGTTCCCTAAGAAAAGTTGAGAACAATCTCAAAACAAAAAGGTCTCTATTGTTAAGGCCTAAAGCTATGGTTACATAAAACCAGAGTATCTTTGTTTATTTTTTTCAAAACTTTTTCATTGTTGGCAACATCATGTTCATATTACAGTGCCATTTCCCCCTACTTTCAAGCTCCTTGATCATGATTATGTTGTTCTCAAAGCTTTTTAATTGGCATCGAAAGATGCTTCTGCGCACTCTTTAGGGCTCTGGGTGGCTTGAGAAAAAAAATATCTAGATGGCATTATTGATAGTATCTATCTAAAAATATTGTAATGAGCTTCCTATCGTGGGGAAAGGCCCTTGTTTTGGCTGCTCACTGGAGGAACCTGTCTGCCCAGTAAGAAAAGATAGCGCACAGCCTTTTGGTAAGCTGTGTGACACCCATAAGGGAGTTCCACAGCCAGAACACAAGTGTGCACTCACTTCATGAGCTACAGAAACCTAAATGCAAACGTACAGTAGAAGTGCTGAGATACAAACATACCAATATGTATTGCAAAGATGAATGTAGCAAAACAGGATATAAATCAAAAACCATTTCAGCCTACACAGGATTCACTGTTGGATTTCTTAACCACATAAAAAGTAAGAGTCTTTCTGCAGCTTTAGGATTTATGGGGAAAGAGGAATAGCAGAATACTCACTGCAGAAGGAAACAGCGATATATCGACGTTTAAGGTGAATGGACAGCAGAAAAATCATTAAATAAGAGGACATGACATCAGCCCTTTCATTGCTCAATTGTGTCCAGGATGCTTTTTCTTTTCCCTCTTGTTTTGGTTTGAAGAGACACAAATTTAAGTTGAGAGTTGTTACAGAGAACATCCTTCAATATCTTTCTTCTTTCTCGTGCATTTTTGGTTTGGAAGAAGACTTTGCCTTTTGGGGAACTGAATTGGGCATCTTTTAGCCCAGCAGAAGTTCTGAGCAGCTTGAGTTATGACAGTTATGATTCTCAGAAGGCCAAACATTTACTTAATTAATAAAAAAAGTAATCTAACAGTTAAATTAGTCTTAGTTAGGCCAACACAAATCAAACTGAAGTCTTTCACTCCCTCACGTCACTCTAAAGGCTCCATTTAGAAGTTTAATTCTTCCCTCATCAGTCATTTCACTGTGACAGAGGGTTATTGATTGGAGCCCACACTCCTTTAGGCAGATCTGTCATTGCATCGACTGAATCTTTTTAGGTCCATTAAATACTTTCACCCAAAGCCAGCAGGCTGTGCTTTTAGTGACATGACAAATGAAACATGCACAGTAGTGTGGAGTGTAAATAGTACCAGGTCACATGACAGTGCAGCTCTTTGTTCCTTTCTGCTCTCCCAAAGGAAAAGTCAATAAAGTACACTTATTTTTTTTGTAAGCATTTTCGGAGAAAGCTCGACAACAAAAATATATTAAAAATCACATCAGACATACGGTGTAAGAATCATAAGCAAGTTGCACGTGATTTCATAGTAATGCACTAAGTATAGCTCGTTCCTCCACAGGATAACCATATTGTAATGGATTAGCTATTTATTAATATTCTCACCGGTCGTGTGATCCGGGGGTCCGGGGCCGTCCAGGATCACGGAGTGCAGGTGAGGGTGTGTCGTCTCCAGAGCCGTGCAAAAGTCTGCGAAATGGTCTCGGTCCTTGCTGATAAGTATCTTCAGGAGAAGGTCCACTTTTTCCGAGTTCGAGGAGCAGTTGTGGCCCAGCTCGTGGTGCTCGGACTGGCTGAGGGTACCGCGGTGAACCAAAACGTCCACAACTTGGTCCGCATCTGTTATCGATTCCACCAAGTTCTGGTAACATTTCTCCAACAACTCTTTATGCTGGGGCTCCATCTCCTCTCCCTCTTCGTCTCGCTCCCCGTCGCTTTAACCCGCTTCGGCGCAAAAAACCCAGCCCCCGTAATCTTTTGTGGTAGTCAACTTCACTTCGAACTACTGCCGTGACTTTCCAAAACTGACCCACTCGACCCAGTCGGGACGGTTTTCAACCCGAAACGAAGGATACACAAGAAGTAGCCATATTTGTTGCCCAAGGCTGTTGACTGCACGAAGATGACAACACATTTTCCCAACCGCAGCTCCGTCCTTTAGGGGGGAAAAAAAGACGTCTGTATGTTTAAGCTTCCATCTGCGTACGCTTCGAAGACATTTTTGTCCTCGAATTAAGTTCTTACGACGTGGTGAAAAGTGTAAAAACTCTTCAAGAAGCACCTCCGTGGAAGTACAAACTCCGCCATGTCTCACCGTAGAAGTAGCTGCAGCTCTGTGCCAATCATATTTCCGTGCAATGGACTTTTAAGGTAAATGTGGGCGGGGCTTAGTTTTACCTGGCTCCCCGCCGCTATCGTTACATGACAATCACAATAAAGTTATAGAAACAACATCACACAATGATTTAGCAGTCAGAAAGATCAGTTCTGTGAAACATAAAACAAAACAGACACATAACCACAGACTATGGAACAGGACTATTTTAAGCAGTGGTGAGCTCATTATTCATTTGTTCAAAAACAAATTATCTTTAGATTTATTAGGAAAAATACCAAGCCATAAAAACATCTGAAGAGGAGTAAAAGCTATAATAATCACCCAAAATGATTGTTTACAACAAACATAGTGTCATTATTTGATTTTCTTTAGAAAGGAGTCAAATTAGTTTGATACTTTTCACCTTTTGTAATCAGCTGACATTTGGGGTGTTTTAAAATGTCTATATTTTAAATATATATATATATATAAACTGAGAGTATATGAATTCCAGAACTCCAAATTCATGTAAAAAAACAATGCTATTAACGTATTTTGTAGATTGCAATGTTATATTACAAATATCTATGTCAGTGGAGTACCATTCAGGACTTGATACTGTAGATGGAAAATAGTATTTTTTAAACTATAAGTCCTGGATATTATTAATGCTTTTTCAAAGTCAGTTAAGCCCTAACCCCATCCACTCCTAAGCTTAAATATAGTAGACATTAAATGTAGAAATGATTAAATCACCCTTTGGATGAAATTCCCTATGTGTAAAAAAAAAAAAGTGATTGCTGAGCATTCTCTGAAAAAATGACATATTTTAAACATAATAATAATAATTCATCCATCTACTTTTCAATCCAGCTCTTTTAAGTGGAGTTGTGGAGGAGCTGGAGTTTTCTCTGTAGCCATTAGATGGCCATAGAAAAAATAAAGGCACACCTCAATGTACAATGGAAATTAGTTTATACATGACATGATTTGTAAATTTGCATTACAATGTCTTTTGATGAGTATTTTTATGTGCATCAAATTATGGGAAGACAGATCTTTTAAAGGTCCACATTTAATTTCTTCTGTATCTTGCATTTTTTTCCAATTCTAAACAACACTCAGCCTTATTGCTATGAAAATGTATCAGATGTCCTCTAAGGCAAAAAAAGGACGTAAACGATACAGACTGTTTTAGTAATCTAGTAGCTCATTTTAGTATACTTTGATCTCTTTAGAGCAGGATTGTAACTCTGGATCAGTACTTCTCATGTCTTCTTTTGATTGCCCGTTTGACAAAGCTGAGATTTCTGCTGCTCTATCAGACCCCAGAGGAGGAAGATATATCACTAAAGCTTAAAAAAACTTTGTCATATACAAAATGCATTGCTATGTGATGTAGCCTCAGTGCAAACAGCACTATGCGCAAATCTGTGTTGGGTTTGTTTACCATAATTGCTGTCAGCACTCTGTATTATTAAGGCGCTTCAGAGCATTACATTTACAAGGATTATGACTTTCATCTGGAGCGAGCTGGAGCATACAGAACCTGACTTTAGAGCTTAGTACACAGCGTGCCTATACATTTCCCACATAAGTCTGGAAATGCTTTAACAATGTAAGAGCTTACATAACATCTTAACGAATATGCTGCAATCCACTGGCCCCTCATCAAAAAGTGTTCAGGAATTCAAAATATTATTAAAATGATCAAACTTATATGATGTTGGTTTGAAAGGACTCCTTCTGCTTTTGGCGCGCAAATTGTAAAAAATGATTAGTTGAGATTAATTTTCTAATTTACTCAAATATCAGAGTATGGACCCCAGACCCCACAGGCTGCTGCTCTGCGGGCAGGATAGTGATATCTGCAGCTACATCTCATTATGTGTTGTTCATCTAATCCCTGCATTTGTAATTTGCTTATATGGACTCATTTAAAGCAGGATTATGCCCCTGGCAACCAAATGTCACTTCTTTGCACATTCCTCATTGGACAGCTGGGAGAAAATCCACTGCAAATCAACAATTCAGCCAAAACGTTCCCCAATTGTTAATAAGATACAATCAACATCAGAGGCCAGTGAGTAAAACATGACATGGCAGATAAGCTGAATGTTTCATTTATGTCATATTTGTTCTACTTGTGACAACTATGAAAAAAAACATCCTAATTAGTTGTCTTTTTTACATGCAATAAATCTTTCAAATTTCTTCAGTGGCATTTAACGGAGGGAAAAATAATTACCAGGGTTTAACGTCTAATAAGAGGTTGTATTTCACAGTTCCCATTTTACACTAGAGCTGATGACGTGGACAGAAGATTGACCGGCATAACTCCCATATGAATGTGTCTGACATTTCCAATGAGATGGCAAATCTGTGTTGATGCGTGTCAGTGTGACCAAATTCCCCAAAGGATGCCTTCTGCAATCCCAACCGCAGGCTAATATTTGAAAAACTGTGTCCAGAAACCAGAATCAAGGAGAAGTCTTCTGTTTAGCCTGTTAAAGTAAAAGCCAGCCAAATGGGAGGCCCCATCTGATTTCCTTTTGACCTATATTTCAGGAGGTATCAGCGCAAAGTCGAGGATGAAGAGGGAACACACAAATACCAACATCAAATATTCATCACTCTTTGTCATCAGGCTGTCTGAGGTATTTTTATTTGAGTTTCAAGGAATAATAGTGAAGGTAGAAAAGTGTGATTCGTCTCAGCCGCACACTTCCTCTGAGGCAACACAACAGAGAACAGACTTCAGGACATCTGCATCCCCATCTTAGAAACTATTAGTAGGCATGAGAAAAGCTCTGGTGTACCTGAGCACTTCCCTGGCCTTCTCAGATTGTACAGCAATGAACATGCACATCCCTTATGTAAGCCGCATTACTCGCAACAGAGGATGCTGCTTGTGATGCTCTGGGGGGGGGGGGTTGCTTTATGTAATGCACACCAAGGTAGTGCAAAGGAGGCCAGATTTCAAATGCAAATTGCTCATGGTATGTTGACCCCAGTTATGCAAAAACATATGAACATATTTCATTAGGACAACCAAGGTATGCCAAAGTGTTTTTATTGAAACAATAGGTGTTTGTTCTAAGAAAGCCGTTGATTGATTTACAATCTTTCTTTTACAAAGACAATTGTGACAGTAAGTCTTAGTACAAGCTAAATGTTAGTAGGCTAAAATGGCACTTAATGTGAGACAGGAGCCCTCTGCTGGTAGTAGAATATAAAACCAGCAGAAGGAGATTATGAGGGTAAATTAAACATTTTATGTATGATGTAAAATTACATTTTGTTTTCCATGCAAGTGAGAGTATAGACCAGCTCTGTCAATTTACACACAGCACATAACAGGCAATAATGTCTGTCTAAACTTTGGCTTCTGTGCACTGATTAAAAGGCAACTTTTTCTATAAATGATATTTGATATTTAACATAAAGTTATTTGCATAGATGTGCAAGCAGGGGTACAATCTTAGCATCAAAGCACATTTAAGGCTGGGGGGTGGGTACACCTCTTGCTCATTTTCTTTTCAAGCATGAAACAGTAACCTGAAATGAAATTGTGACCCGCTTTTCCAAAGCTTACATCCACTTAAACTACACTTAAGCTAAATTGAAATCACTGGATATGTGTCAGAATCAAATAAAATCAATGACATCAAATGCATGTGCTCTTGTCATTTTATAAAACTCTGCTGTTACAGCATTTTTTTTTTAACTACCTAAATTAAAGACTTTAGATTTGGGGCTTTGATTTATATTTTATATATTAATTTATGCAATAGAGTTACTTTGTTACCATAACAGTCAAATAGTTCAAACTTTAACTATGTAGGAAATGTTCATGCAACTACACTTACTTTTAAAATATAATTTGTCATTTATCCTCAGCATTCACTACTGTAACAGAAATCACATTACCATTGAATATACTAAATTACGATTGATTCACTTTAGCTATCTGGACAATGACATTAGCTGCATGCATCAGAGATGATATGAGGCTCCCATAACATTGTTGCAGCGTGGACAAATATGGTGTCCTTATGGGAGGTCATCCTCCTTTCTGTCTAGTCGTTGCCACCACAAAGCTTCAACAGCAGCTTCTTGTAATCCCCAGAAGTATCACCCTGAAAGACACCGCAGCATGTTACACAGAACGGATTAAATAAAGAGGGGCTGAAGCATCTGTGAAGAAGATGCAGATGGAGGGACTCACCGAGATGTGAGTGTACAGTGACTTTCCGTAGGCCTTCAGGTACTCCTGTCTGATGTCGAGCATGTCAACCTCAGAGCGGGACACCATGATACGGATCAGAGTTCTGTCCTTGGTCCCTGCTCCCTGTTAAGTACAGACAAGATGACATCGGATCCGTGTCGTCTTCTCTTTCCCTCCACAACACCGTGCAGGAAATGAGCAGTTAGTCCATCAGGATGAAGCAAAATGATAAAAAGCAAGCCCACCTTCATGGCCTTGTTGAGCCTCTCTGCAAAGTAGGCAGGAGTGTTCTTGATGCATTTCACTAAATAAATGAATAATTAAAAAAAAGAAAGAGGAGCAAAAAGACGTTAGCAAACATAAACAAGAGTTAAGAAAATCTAGCAAATGTAACAGATAAAATGAATATATTTTTATGATACTCTTGCCTCTCGGCCACATAGCGCCCAGTTCCCAACTCAACCTTTCCTTCTTTTTATCAGCAGGCTAGTATGATTAAAATGGATAAGTTCACATCTTTACAACTTAAAACCAAAAAGATAAGTACACAATTCTTTTGGAAGTTTTGCATCAATTTCTCCTCATCTTAAGAAATGTAACAAAAAAAAAGTAGACATCCAGAAGACATTGAAGTCAAAGTAGTGAGGGGAAATTGTATCCACGTTATGGGGTTTTAAGGTAGGCAATGCTGATTTTATAGAACTAGGGATGCAAACAATTAATCGATCAATTATCGATAAGAAATTACTCGGTTAAAATAAACTGCTTGCAATTAATTACGTTTTGAACCCTAATTCCCCGCTAGTGCGTGTGAAAGCTGGCTTGATGCCAGACGTACAGTACTTAACGCATGCACGTGAACACAAGTAGGGCTCCAATGACAACAACACGACACACGAGAAGAGGTACACTGACAGGACGAAGAGCGCAAGACAGAGTGCAGTTACTTTTCTGAATTGGTTTTATTAGGCTGATAAGTGACGGTGCACTAATTCAATTTTGTGTCAAAGTAACCTACATATCACTCTATATTTAGATTCAGGAAAGGGTTTTTTATGCTGCTACTATAAATGTTTACAATGTTGCAGATGAGAAATTAGTTTAATATTCTGATATTTTCTATTCAGAATATATTTGATATTCTGCCAAAATGTTATTCTCTGCCCTCAAGTGAGCCCAGAATAAAGCTTTGCATTTTTTCTTTATATCATAGGGAAGATAACATTTTACGTCATGTATAAAGTGGGGCAATTCACTATCAATTAATAAATCATTTGAATCTCTACATATAACTGTGCAATATGTTGTATGCTAAACCTTGCTAAAACATTGAGAGTTTCTGTCTTCAATACATGTTGTCATTTTTTTTTTTTTTTGCATGGATTTGCATGAATTTGCAAGTTACCTACATTGGGCCCGGAAACAAACACTCAATAACACATACCTACAGCCACCATGCCAGACTCCACATTTCCAGACATTTCCCTGCAGATGCTCTTCTCAATCTCTCTGCCACACATCTGCTGGTACTCCTGGAAGACTGATAAGGAAAAGAAACATACAAGATGGTTTCAGCCATAATGAATAAAAACATAGAAATCCATTTACATGGACAGATCACTTAACTCATGGAGGCAAGAAGAAAAGGTTTGTAGAAGTGAAAAAAAGCTGAAATAACACACCTGCACGAAGGTGAGGCTTGCTGCGAGCACACAGGATGGCGTTAAACTGAGACTCATCAGTCCCCACTTTATTTTCACCGGCTGCATACAGTTTCTGTGTAAGGAGAGAGGATGGTGAAGTGAACAGGTTTGAAGAATATCTTTTTGAGAGGGTTTTTAACAAAAAAAAAACAGTACCTGAGCGTCCTGCTTGGCCATAGCTATGTCCACAGTCTCACGCTCATCTCGGTTTCCCTGGTTCACAAAACAAAAAAAGTCTTAGGCAGGCAGCAAGAGCTTATGATAAGTGAGGTATAAGATGTGCAGGAAATACCTGACAGAGAGACACCAGGAGCCTCCGGAAGTGGCCAGAGGTGTCGCTGATGATGGCGTCCTCCAGCTTCTTCCCGTATTCTGAAATGATTGTGCTCTTTTATAGAAGAGTGACTTCATTTACATAATGTTTGTGTTTTGTTTAAACCTTTTAAAAAATAATGCTCTGTCTTTTTGCCTTCTTTCAAGGCAAACACATTTTCTTATAACAAATGACGACGCCTCGAAACTCAAGATTTCTACTTTTTTTCTTTCGATTTATTATTATGAAATTATGAAGATAATCGCAATGGACAGTCCAACAATTCCTATTTATTTCTGGTTGGTCTGATGAAAAGTTATATTTCAAACACACATTGTCTATATCTGAGAAAACATATGTATAAAAGGTTTCAAAGATAAGATCAACTAACCATTTTTGTAGATTCTGTTAATCTCTTGAATCTCTGCATTGGATCGTGATGACAAAATCTCGATCAGACAAGCTTCATCAGTTCCTGCACCCTGGGAAGAAAAACAAAAGGTTTATTACAGCGCAATTTGCACAACTAAACCAAAACTGAAACATTCAATCGGACATCTGCAAACCTTTATGGCCTCTCTGGCTTCAGATGCATCAAGGTGCGATGGAGTCTTCAACATGGAGAGGACCAGATCCTCAAAGTTTCCAGTGAGCTCAGACTTGAGATCATGGAATAAATCCTAGGAAAAAAAACAAAAATCAAAACAATGAGCGCAACGTTAAACAGCATAAATGCTGTTTAATACTAATGAAAGTCATTTCAACTGCAAAAAAACTTCCTGAACATACCTTCCCATAAGTAGTTTTGTAAGCTGCTACCAGTGGAACCCTCTGCTTGTTGGAGCGACTTCCCAGAAGTTCAATTATAGCATTTTCATCTGTGCCTGTTCACACATTTTGTTTGTAGCATTGATTAAATATGATATAAAAAGGCAGGAGAACTAAAATATATAGCCTTGATGGATTAAGTTGACATTAAAGTGACTAAATTGATTTTAGATTATATTTACTCACCAAAACCTTTCATTGCTTTTCGGAGAACTTCCACATCCCTCAGTGGATCGGCTCCAGGGTAATCTTTAATAGAACCCCTGTATCCTTTCTACAAAAAAAAAAAAGAAAATGCATTCTAAGCGCAACGTATGTATGAGGTTTAACAACATTCTTGGAAGATGAGAAGTAGAGCTCACAGAAATGGCTGGTGCCTGAGGGTTGGTTGGCACTCCACCTCCATATCCAGGCATGGAGGGGTTTGCAGCAGGGGCTCCAGGGTAATTTGGCATGGGCTGGCCCTGAGGGCCCCCTGGGTATCCCTGCTGAGCTCCTCCAGGCTGCAAACAAAGGGCAAATGTAAGCCCTTAAGATAGAGTAACAAACCTCATATAGAACAAATAGGGTTCAACAAGGGCTCTTGGAGCTGGGATGATTTAATCAAACAAGAGTCAATCCATATGCTATATTCTAGGCTGGACGTTTAAAAGTAGAAAGATAATAAGTTGTATATACCGCGCCATAGCCACCTGGTGCTCCACCTGGTGCTGCACCCCAGCCTCCACCTGCAAAGCAAATATGCGCAGAACAATTAAAACAAACACTAGCTGACGAAAACAAATTCTTTATCTTTTAGCTACTCTTATGCATGACCTGTTTCTTTCCACCTTACCTGCTGGTGGCATAGAGGGATAGCCACCCGCTCCAGCCTGTGGTGGATATCCACCCCCCTGAGAAGGAAAGCCTCCGGCTGGGGCTGGGTAGCCACCAGCCTGGGGAGGGAAGCCCCCTGCTGCGGGAGGGTAGCCACCTGCTGCGGGAGGGTAGCCACCTGCTGCGGGAGGGTAGCCAACAGCTTGAGGTGGGTATCCGCCTGCCTGGGGAGGGTAGCCGCCTGCCTGGGGAGGGTATCCGCCTGCCTGGGGAGGGTAACCGCCTGCCTGAGGAGGGTAGCCACCTGCCTGGGGAGGGTAGCCGCCAGCTGCTGGAGGGTAGCCGCCTGACTGGGGGGGATATGCCCCTGGCTGAGGAGGGTAGCCACCGGCCTGTGGTGGGTATCCGCCTCCTTGCGGGGGGTATCCTGGGTAACTCATCTTCAAGACCTAGGAGTGACATGAAATTGTACAGTCGTTATAAGACTCTTTTGAGAATCATTTCATGGCCACGTTTGTTAATGGGACCCTCATGGGGAACATTTTCAGTGACTTTGGAGCCTGCAGTTTCATCTAAGAAGACTATACTCAATGAAGCACTCAAAAGCAAAACATCTCCCTTTTTCACATGAAATCACAAACTACTGTGCTACATCTTATTACTTCAATCCAACAATATCCTCATCATATGATGATTACATTACAATGTTTTGATGAACTGATCAGAGTTCAAGTTTCCCTTCCTCTTTTGAAAAAGCAGCAAGAGTAAATAGTGAGTGATATGTGCTTTTATTTGTACAATTAA